AGCAGGTTTTGACTCGATCCGATTGATGGAGAAGTTTGATCTATGAGGATAGGGAAATTTCTTTGACGTTTACCCTCCGATGCCTTACTTATTCCACACTTCCACACAGCTCTCCTCGGCAGCATCGTGGGTTTTAAAACATGAGAGATCCTGACCTCTTCCCACCCACCCTCCCCCTTTCCTTATATTTAGCAGCAACCTAAGAATGTCTTGGCAGAGGAAATTGGATGTGAAGTTTGCACAAGCTCTTGGAGTGCTTGGTTGGTGATGTGGGGGATACTTGCAAAGTAGAGTCACCTCCCCATCAAGGAGGGACACCCACAAATACCCTGACTCTGCAAATATCCAGAGCTCTCTGACTCTTCCATTTATTTAGGGAAAAGTGGAGGCTTGGTACTGCTATAGAAGAGGCAGCGTCTGCAAATGGATGTCCAACCAGATCACTCTCAATATTTTCCCTGTCACCACCACACACAGGAAAGTGGCTTTAGCCTTCTGCCTGGATCTGGTCACAAACCTGGAATTTGCTCTGACCTGAAGTAGAAAGGGTACCCTTACTATTCATGTAATTTTCTAAGAAAATGTGTCTCAACCTCAGCTGAGAACCCAGGAGCATCACTAGGGAGGGAACAAAGACAGCTCTCAAGTCATTTGAAGGTGAAAAATACTTCCATAGGAAGTACGATGATCTTAATTAAATATTAGCTGTAATTAGCCTAAAGTGCAAATGTTGGGAATATTAATTAGGGTCTCTCTGGAGCAGCTGTCGGCATTAATAGGTAACTGTAGGGGGTCTTGCCAACATCTGTTTGAGACCTCCAGGTACAAGATGCAATACCGAACCCCAGGACACCTGAACACTATCTGTTGTCCAATTGGTTTTCACGGTCTTGGTCCTCAGAGCTTGACACCTTTGTTGCCAGAGTGGCACAGATCTTGAGAGGTTCTGCTGCCCTGGCTCCAGTGACACTCTTAGCTGGTCTTGCCTTTCCTATGACAGGCTCAGAGTACTCTGGAGATAGGCCTCAAACTTGAATTGGCACAGAGGTTTCCCGTACCGCTCTGCTGCCAGGTATTGAGGGTCACCTTCTGCATCTGGCAAACAGAATCACAGGTATACTGCATTCTATACCTCAGCACCTGACCTCCCCACAGGAGGAGGTGAAATAGGTTTGAGTACTATGATATCTGTTACGCGGGGTGGGGGTTGGTCATTTTGCAAACTGAGCTGACCTCTACAGCAGAAGACTCTCTCACAAAATGAAAGCAGAAGATGGGTCTTAGTTCAGCTCCTTGCTTTCCCATGAATGGTCTGGGCCCTGGATCTTGAAAGGATTTTTTTCTCAGTTCTAGATGAACCATTTCTGACTACTAAGTTAAGTAGACTACGGGTCTAGTACATGCAAAGCAAGAATTCTAGACATCAGCATTATTAGCCTTTGGGACCCATAGGCAGTCCTTCGAGAGTTTGTGCACTACTGGGATTTGGCAATATCACTGGTGTCCGAGAACTTAATGCTAAGAGCACAGTCTTCCTGAGCTGTGATAGCCAAAAACGTTTCCTTTCTTTGCCTTGAATCTCCTTAGAGTATCCATACAGTTTAAGAACTGTTGACATAAAGTACCAAGCTGGAAGTGAAGGATGATGTTGCTCAGCTTGCCCTCTGAGCACCAATGAGTAAAATGGATGGTCTGTATAGTGTGTGTGTGTGTGTGTGTGTGTGTGTGTGTGTGTGTGTGTGTGTGTGTGTGTCCATCTAATTTATAATCACAAATCTAGTGAAGGGAAGAAAGCTGCAGAAGAGAGATTCTAACTTATTCTTGTGCCATCATCACCACTGCCAATGTGGAGGAACAGACAAGTATGCCCCTCCTTTCCCTAGACAGATATGTCCCCTTTCTTCTCCTCCTATGTGGCTGTTACCTTCATAGCCTGCCCAAACTCTACGTATAGTAGTGATTTCTTAGCAGGGTTTCCCATATCTAATGCTATTCTGCAGCAGCCACTGGGAAGATTTTCCTGCACAGATCTAGACAGTAAATAGTTTAGACTTTGAGGGTCATATGGTCTCTGTCACAACAAACCAACTCTGTGCTTGTTGTACAAAAGCAGTTGTAGGCAATTTGTCAAACAAATGAACCCACTTATTGGATTATGTCCCAATCAAACTTTATTAACAAAAAATAAGCAGTGGTACAGGGTTGCTCTATCAGTTGTTTACCAATGCAGCCTCTGTAGGATAGATTCTATGGTTCTTCCAAGAAAGGAAAAGTACTTAAGTTCCATAGTGAAACAGCACAGGACAGACAGACAGACAGACAGGCATGTGCGCGCACACACACACACGTTAGGCCCTTTGGATCTTAAGGGGCAGAAACCCACCTTAAAGAAGGTACAGTCGCTGAGCCTAATAGCTCATGTCTATAACTCCAGCTACTCAAAAGACTGAGATAGGAGAATGGCAAGTTCAAGGCCTACCTGGATGACTTTGTGAAATGAAACCCTGTTGCAAAAATGAAAAGTAAAAAGAGAGTGGGGGGTTCAACTCAGTGCTAGAGCATTTGGCTAGCATGCATGGGGCCCTGGGTTTCATCACTATTACAAAATAAAGAGGGAAAAGAAAGGAAAGGGGACATAGATTTTAAAAGTTTGAGTTATGCACAGTGAAGCTGCTCTGGGGAAGTAAAATGCAGAATGGAGATGATGTTTTTAAAAAGTCATGTGTAGTCCTAGAAAGATGTACCTAAAGTAAAATCTTCTCAAAAACACATAAGCCCACAGGCATGTGAGCAAATGTTAACTGCACAGAGGCATTGGGGAAGCTGATTATCTGGAGCACAGGGACCTTTTCATTGCCTATATGTATAAAAGCATCAAGTTGTGCCTCTTAAATGCATACATTTTTATGTTAATGGTAGCTTAGTAAAGCTATTGGAAAAAGAATATATATTCCCTTTTGTAACTCACACACTGCTGTTCCTGACTACCTGTGCAGTACTCACAGTACTCCGTCTGGACATGATGTTCCTAAGGCTCTCAGGCTTCCTCTGTCTCCCCCAGGTCCCTGACACCATTTTGCTTTGAGTAACCTCACCTGCAGGCACTTCCCTTTCAAGTGGTACTCCTTGGCAGCCCCAGGCTTACACTATTTCTACTGTTTTCCATTATTTCTACTACTATATCACAGTGGAAAGAAAGCTGCCCAAACACTATAGCAATATCCTAGGCTGACAAGAACTCATTGGTATGACTAGGAAGAAAGCTGTAGAGTTAGCTAAATAGATGGTCATGAGACTACACTGAGATTTGCAGCTGATGTCATGTGGCTGACCCTGGTGGTAGCTCAGAGACTACCAGGAACAGAGTATAGCTACTTCTACACAGCATGAGCTGAGGGTAGATGTCTGACAGAATGAAGGTGGGGCATATCTTTGCAGAATTATGTGTAGAGTGGGAGTATCAGTGACAGCCAATGTCCTCTTCTGGGGTTTGATGCTCTTATGTAGCCACCCAACTTCAGCCAGGGACTATTGCTGCACCCACTGTAAGAAGAAAATGATCAGAACAGAAAGAAGTATGCCCCTTTTTACTCCTAGTGAAACAGATGTTGAAACTATTACAGAGGAAGAAAAGGCCAGTGGGAATGCATTCCTTGTAAAAGAATTTAAACTTACACTAAGCTTCATTCTCTCGCAAGTGCCATCTTCAACATCATACAGTCAAGGGTCTGCTCTAACATGGACATGGGTTCTGTGTTTGCGTCTCGCTCAAGTTACTGTAGCAGAGACTGAGGTCTCTTGTTGATGGCACATATTGATGTTTGTGTTCTGGAATCCTTGCAGGAGGACTAAAGTCACATGTAACTGTCCACAGAAAATGAGAGAGGCCACTATTTGCTGAGCTTAATTGCCTACCTTCCTTAGTACCTTCCTCCCTTCTTTCTTCTCCCCCCTCTACCTCCTTCCTTCCCTCTTTCCCTCTATCCCCTGCTTTCTTTCTTTTTGACTGTACAACTGTATCTCTTGAAACCATGGAAGTTTTAGAGCTCTGGACTCCTGCTTCTTATGCATTCTGCATATGTGTATGCAGAGTGTGTGAAGGATGTTGGAGTTATGGGGGTGGAGATGGAGGCAGGGAGATGTTTCCAGAAATGGAAACATTTGAATTCAGGTTTTTTTTTTAATTCTTTTGACTTGACTGTAATTATCATACTGCATGTTTAGGCTATAACTGAAGGGTGAATTGTTATATAATGCCCTGTACTTATATATTTTTTTAAAAAAAGACAGGATGGGAAGGGCATTGATTAGTGAGGCTCAGAATTAAACCCGGTATCTAAAAGGGGGAAAGTAGGAATATCACAGGGGAGTCTCTAAATTAAGGCCTAAATTTCTATTGGCTGCTTTTATCACAGATATGCACACAACAACAACAACAATAACACACACACACACACACACACACACACACACACACACACACACACACACAAAACAAGATCTTTACCAGGACCCTTCCAAAGCACCTAATAGTTGAATTGAGTTCAAATGATTCTCTCAAGCACACACTCAAGCAGTTTGATTGTTCTTGGCTGTGTACCAAATTGGGACTCCACTGTTACCATAGACAACATGATGTTAACTTCTTCCAAAACTGAGATGAAACAAAGAGGATCTGCCAGTCCTGGACAGACCCTATAGTCTCAGCCAGTGGTGGGCAGATCATACAGTCTCAGCAAGTTGGACTGGATGTCTTTGGGGAAAGTGACTGCATCATTGTGTGCCTTGATTTTTCTGTTTGTAGATGGAGATTAATGATGACTGTCATTTGCTGGTAGTGTCTCCTGAGGGTTGGTTGGGATGGTCACTCTTGGGTTGGAAGTCTTCAGCTGAACCTTATGAAGTGTGCTGGGACTTGAGTCCCTGGACTCTGGAAAGCAGTTGTGTTGACAGAGCACTAATGATGTTCTCTTCCCTTCTCCTTTTCCCCCCTCTTTCAGGGTAATCAGGAAGCAGCAGCTGCCCCTGACACAATGGCTCAGCCTTATGCCTCAGCCCAGTTCGCTCCACCTCAAAATGGCATCCCTGCAGAATACACGGCCCCTCATCCCCATCCTGCACCAGAGTATACCGGCCAGACCACCGTCCCCGACCACACATTAAACCTGTATCCTCCTACACAGACGCACTCCGAGCAGAGCGCTGATACAAGTGCGCAGACCGTCTCCGGCACCGCCACAGTAAGTGGATGCTGCAGCTGGACCTGGAGGGTGCTCTCTGAGCTGGTAGTGGACCATGTACACTGTATGCTGGGGATTTTGTCAAGCAAAGCAGCTCTAAATCTCTCCTTATACTACCAGCTTCCCAGAGATTTCCTTAGTGACTAGGCATCCTTCCCTATTAGTTAGAACATGTTTCCATTTGCTGTATTTATTTGTAAACAGACACAGGCATCTATTTTCCTGTCTCTAAAGTGATGAGTTCTCTACAATGCTATCCCAGTAGAATTCATACATTTAAACCATTTCATGGAAATGTGGGGGTCTGGGGATGCAACTCAGAGATAGAGCACTTGCTTAATGTGCCCAAGTTCTTAGGTTTAGTCTCCAGCACTACAAAACAAGCTACAACAACAACAACAACAGCAACAACAAAAAACACAACCTGGACACATAACTTAGATACAACAAATTTATTCATTTTAAGTGTACAGTTTGCCGATTTTAAGAACATTTACATAGCTGTGTAACCATTGCCAAAATTTGATTTTAGAACATTTTTATCAACCCTAAAACAAAGCTTGGGCCCGTTTGCAGGCCAGCCATCTTTATTCTTGGATGAGTGCATCTGAGACTCGTCTATAGCTAGAATTTTCTCCAGTCCTGCCTGGCCCAGGGTAAGGACAAATCTCTCTCACCCGCCAGTCCTGCAGCCGCTTAGACCCAACCAAGTAAACACACAGAGACTTATATTGTTTACAAACTGTATGGCCACAGCAAGCTTCTTGTTATCTAGTTCTTACATCTTAAATTAACACATTTCTATTAATCTATAAGTTGCCATGTGGCTCCGCCGGACAGCGCCACACCTTTCCCAGACCCTGTTACCTATCCCTTCACTTGTAAGTTACCCCACAAAATAAACCTCCCTTTTAACTGCATGGAGTGGCCTTAATAATTCCACCAGTGCTCGTCTGTATTATATCTATGTGTCCTTAGTTTGTGATGTGTTGTTTGTTCATTGGATCATGGCAAGTAATCCAGACTGGCCTGCAGTTTCCTGCATAGGTGAAAATGAGCCTGTCCTTCTGACCCCTGTTCCTGTCCCTCCAAAGTGCTGGGGTTACAAGGGTCTACTACGATGGCCAGTTTCCTCAGTGCTAAGAGTGGAACCCAGGCTTGGTACACTCTAGCTAAGCTCCACTGTCTAGCTGTAGTTTGTGGGAATTTGTTGCTGCTACATAAGAAAGGGATAGATGTGAGAGAATATGAGGTGGGCAGGAGACCTGCTAGACCTTAAGATTGTAAACAGAAAGATGAAATTGATGGGTTAGAATTAAACAACAGTCAGAAAACACAGACACATTTTCATCACCATCCTATGTGAAAACCAGTATAGTGGGACAGTAATCAAACATGACTGTGGACACCAATAATTACATTGAAATTAGATGGTGCTCATCTGTGAACCATATATAATAATTAAGAATCCATAAGCCTGTGTAGGACATGCTGTGGAAAACTTCCTCTGCAAAATTCCTTAGAGACATGGACACACATAAGGTCTAGCATGCAGCACTTGACAGATGGAAGGCAGTGCTGCCTCTTCTTCTACCCTCAAGGCCTTGGAGACCCAGAATTCTGACACCGTACATACATGTGTTGGGCACATGACACATTTTGTCAAGTATGGGAAATCACTGGGTAATGTTGCTACTTAGCTCTGTATGTATTTCAGGGCCAGCTTTTGAAGAAACTAAAAGTCGCATATACTCTGAAACTTTCTATTGCTTCTATCCTTTTTGTTGTTTCTATGAAATGTGCCTATCACTCATAATTAATGTCCAGTATACCGAATTTGGAAGCATTAGTACATTCCCAGGGACTGCAGCCATTCCCACCATCTGGTTCTCATTTTCATCTCCTCAGAAGCCAATTCCACACCCATCTCCCAACCCCCATCCCCCACCCCCATGCTCCATGCCCACTTCTCCACTCCCATCTGCATACCACACCCCAACCCTCTGCCATTGCCCTGTTCCCCTAGCAGGCTGGCAGCCTCCATCTGCTTTCTAACCTGTATGGATTTGCCTCTACAGGGCCTGTGTCACAGAGTCCTATACTACAAGGCCTTTGGTGCCTCACTTCTTTCACTGGCTTAATGCTGCCATGGCTCACTGACATTGGTATTCTGTTGTGTGCACAGGACACATGTTAGTGATATATTCATCTGCTAAGGCCCTTTGGGGTCCTTGTTCCTTTTCAGTATTGGGAACTTTGTTGCTATCATCTCCTGGTATTTGGCTGGCTTGCCTTGGGGATTTATGTGTTCATTAGATTGGTTTTCTTGCTTAGCCAGGTTATGAGGTGGTAATGTTGACCAAGAGGCAGTAGCTAATGATGCAACATGGAAAACACAAATACTTGCTCGCAGATAAACAACTCATAGTGTGTCAGTCTAGTAGACTACTGCTCAGCAATGCAGAGGACTGAGCTATTGCACCTGCAATAGTGTTGGTGTACTGAAAATAGCGATGCCGAGCAACGGGAAACAGGTAAAAGGAGAATAAAAGCGGTTGCTTGTTCGTCGTATGTTGACGTTTTGTGACCATCAGGGATAGTAAGGCCTGGGTATGTGGTTTTAGAACTTACAAAATTCTAAGTTAGACAATAATTATTAAGCTAACTCTAAGATGGTGAGGTTTAGAATAAGAGGAACCACTGAATGACAGAAATTGGATATCAGGTTACAAGTTGAACCAGGAGAGTGTGGGGCCATGGGAACCCAGGGCTTGAACTCAGTACATTGTGGACTTGGCAGTGAAGGCCTTGAAGCATGGAGGGTTTTGTTGTTGTTGCTGCTGTTTGTTTGTTTTTTAATTCAGTGGTGAAAAGAGATACTAGGAGGGTCAAAAGTCAAGTATAGGATAGAATAGCATGGTGAAGGGACAATGCAGTAAGGCCATGAGTCAAAACTGGATAGAAGGGTGCAGAGACTGGCAAGGTCAGAAATCAAGGGCTGAATGGTAGGCACCAGGGAAGGAGGCATTGCACATATTAAGCAATGGGAATGATAAGAAAAGAAGAAAGATAGCAATCGAGGTGAAAGAAATTACCCAAACAGTTCATAAGCTGACTGATTTAGGTTCACCAATTTAAACCAAGGAAAAGGTATCTCTAAGGGACACAGAGAAGATAAGACATAGGACATAGAGAAGATACATTGTCGGGGTGGTGGGGGTGGGGAGAGGCAACAGCATGCATGAAAGAGAAAGAAAAGAAATGGGGCTGTATTCAGATTAGAGAGAGAGAGATAACAGGAAAGAGGAAATTAGTGCTTTTGCAACTTTATAGATACATAATGTGCACACAATATACACACATCTGGAAAGTGTGTACTTGATCCATCTGTACCAAAGAAGGCATACATAGAACTTTTACCAATATTGAAAGTCATGAAAATGTACATCGCCTCTAAGTTTTCCTACACTTTGTTACCCTCTCATTCTCATTCTTTGCCTCATTTCTAGGCATCTAACTGACCTCGTCCTTCTTCTACATCCTTTGCTTCCAGTGCACATATCAATGCAGCCAACATTCTGTGCCCTGGTTTTCTGTTAGTCATCATACCTACCTTTCGTTTCTTCCATGCTGTTGCACACATAAGTAGCTCACTTCTTTGTATTGCTGAATATTATGTCATTGCATGGACATAGCACAGTTTTTTTCTCCATTGATTTGTGCACAGATGGTTCTCCATGTTGACTCAGAAAATAAAACTAATGTGAACACAGGTAAGCATATCAATTTCAAAACGGAAGAGAAGCAAAAATAAATGTTTTAGTGTGTAGAGAAACCTTGGTTCCAAAGCAGAAACGGAGACAAGCACTTTCTTTTTTTTTTTTTTTTTTTTTTTGGTTTTTCGAGACAGGGTTTCTCTGTGTAGCTTTGCGCCTTTCCTGGAACTCGCTTTGGAGACCAGGCTGGCCTCGAACTCACAGAGATCCGCCTGGCTCTGCCTCCCGAGTGCTGGGATTAAAGGCGTGCGCCACCACCGCCCGGCACAAGCACTTTCTTAAGACATTCATTTTCTTTCTTTTTTAAAATATTTTTAATTTTATAATTAACTTAATTTCACATATCAGCCACAGATTCCCCCGTCCTCCCTCCTCCCACTCCCCAGCCCACCCCCACCCCCCCAATTCACCTCCCATTCCCACCTCCTCCAAGACAAGGTCTGCCCTGGGGAGTCAGCCCAGCCTGGTAGACTCAGTATGACCTTCATTTTCTCACTCTAACAACTAGGAGTAAGGGGTGGTACTTGGAAATGGGCAAGATAATTCAGAATTTGGAAAAACATGCCAAGAATATGCTCTGAAAATTCCTAGAATATTTGGTGGCAGGAAATTTCTGAGTTTAGGGAAAATGCTTATGGGCTGGGACTGGCCATCACTTTGTCTTCTCTGGTCACATTTAAATGATGCACACTATGGGAGAGGAAATGATAGAAGGATGCCATCTTTTCTGCTACAATTATATGCAGATTCCTTCCTCTCTGGCCAAAAAGGAAGACACATTTTGTGTCTGGGTATATGTCTATGCAGAGGCCAAAAGAGGACCTTGAATGTCCTGTATTGCTCTCTACCCTAGTTTCCTGATGCAGGATCTATCACTGAACCCGGAGCTCACTGTTTTCTCAGCTAGGTTGGCAGGCCACCAAGTGCCAGCAGTGTTCTTTTCTCTAACCCCACCACACCGGTGTTAGAGGCACACTGTGGTCACACCTGGCTTTTGTACATGCAAGCTGGGAGCAGAGCTCAGGTCCCTAGGCTTATGCTCACATGCTCTTTCCTGCCAATCCTTCTCTCTGCCTTCATTCCCTTTTGAATCATTTTTGTTCTAATTTGAACTTGTCTATGACAAGTTTATTTCAAATTGTCTCTATCTCCCTACATCTTGATGGAGTTGTTTTCTCTTCCTCTCAAGTTCTGCATTTTATGTGGAAGGAATTCAACTTCAAA